AGAGAGAGAGAAAGAGAGAGAGAGAGAGAGAGAGAGAGAGAGAGACAGAGACAGAGACAGAGACAGAGACAGACAGAGAGAGGGAGGGGGGTTGGAGAGAGAGAGAGAGAGAGAGAGAGAAAGAGAAAGAGAGTTCTTATTATTTTATTATTCTTTTTTTGTATATTTTTTTTTGTTTGTAGAAAAGCGGAGATAGGAAGAATGAAGTAGGCGAAAGGGAACAAAGAATCCCACTCGGCTTTGGGGATTCAGAACAGCCAACCTTACCGACAGCATTCTAGTGTTAGGGGTACCAACCCTTCCCCCTCCCCCTTCACCCCTCCTCTTCCTCCCTCACTCTAACCCTCACCTCTCTTTTTCCCTCCTCTTCCTCCTTCTCCCTCACCCCTCTTTTCCCCTCCTCTTCCTCCTTCTCCCTCACCCCTCTTTTCCCCTCCTCTTCCTCCTTCTCCCTTACCCCTCTTCTTCTCCCTCCTCCTTACCCCCTCTTCTTCCTCCCTCCCCCTCACCCCTGTTTTTTTCCCTCCTCCTCACCCCCTCCTCTTCCTCCTTCTCCCTCACCCCTCTTTTCACTTCCTCCTCACCCCCTCCTCTTCCTCCTTCTCCCTCACCCCTCTTCTTTTTCCCTCCACCTCACCCCCTCCTCTTCCTCCTTCTCCCTCACCCCTCTTCTTTTTCCCTCCACCTCACCCCCTCCTCTTCCTCCTTCTCCCTCACCCCTCTTCTTTTTCCCTCCACCTCACCCCTATCCCTTCCTCTTTTTACCTCCCCCTCCTCTTCCCCCCCTCCTTTTTTTCCCTCCCCTTACCCCTCCTACCCCTCCTCTTCCCCCCTTCCTTTTTCCCTCACCCTACCCCTCCCCTTATCCCTCCTCTTTCTCCCTCCCCTTCTCCTCCTCTTTTTCCCTCCCCCTCTCCCTCCCGCTCCCCCATCTCTCTCTCTCTCCCTATCCTTAGGGGGAAAAGGAATAGATAAAAAAGATTATGATTTGTGGGGTAAGAATAGAAGGTTTTGAGGAACCTTTGTGTGAGGGTAGGGTAGGGAAGGGAAGGGAAGGGACGGGAAGGGAAGAAAAGGGAAGGGAAGGGAAGGGAAGAAAAGGGAAGGGAAGGGAAGGAAGGGAAGGGAAGGGTAACGAAGGGAAGGAAAGGGAAGGGAAGGGAAGGGAAGGGAAGGGAAGGGAAAGGAAGGGAAAGGAAAAGAAAGGAAAGGAAAGGAAAGGAAAGGAAGGGAAGGGAAGGGTAACGAAGGGAAGGGAAAGGAAGGGTAGGGAAGGAAAGGAAAGGAAAGGAAGGGGAGGGAAGGGAAAGGAAAGGGTAGGGAAGGGAAGGGAAGGGTAGGGTAGGGTAGGGTAGGCTAGGGAAGGGAAGGGAAGGGAAAGGAAAGGAAAGGAAGGGAAGGGAAGGGAAGGGAAGGGTAACGAAGGAAAGGAAAGGGAAGGAAAGGGTAGGGTAGGGAAAAGAAACGAAAGGAAACGAAACGAAACGAAAGGGAAGGGAAGGCTAGGCTAGGCTAGGCTAGGCTAGGCTAGGCTTGGCTTGGCTTGGCTTGGCTAGGCTTGGCTAGGCTTGGGAAAGGAAGGGTGGGGTAGGCTAGGCTAGGTGTAAATGGATAAGGGAATGGTGGGGATTTGGTAAAAAAAAAAAAGAAAAAAGAAAAGTAAAAAGAAAAGAACTTTATTTAACACTAAAAGGGATTAAACTTTCTTGAAAATCGGATCATTTTAAGATTCCCCAAGTCCTTCGGCATTCTCGAAAATAGGTAAATATTAGTGCTCCGAAATAAAAAGAAATAAGTGAATTAAAAATAGAAATACAGAGACAAAAAAAAACATTAACGAACACCAGACGAATCTCTCGACGAAAAATAAAATGAGAGAAAAAATATTGATAATAATAATAATAATAAAACGAAAACCAACGGACCTTCATAACAAATAAACCAATTTAAACGAAAAAACAAAAAATCCGACTGGAAACAGAGAACTGGAATTCACGGAAAGTCCTCAGTCCAGTACCATAAGACTGCCTTTGCGTGAACTATATTGCCGAGGCTCTACTGGTGGGATTTACTCGCAGGGCGCCGGAGAGAGAGACCGAGTGCCGTAACTGGGAGAGACGGAGATGGCAGTGTGTCTGGGATTTTGTGTGCGTGTGCGTGTGCGTGTGTATGTATGTATGTATGTGTGTGAAGGGTGTAAGTGTAACTGTGTGTGTGTATGTGTGTGAAGGGTGTAAGTGTGCGTATGTGTGTGGAGGGTGTAAGTGTGTGTATGTATGTATGTATGTGAAGGGTGTAAGTGTGTGTGTGTGTATGTATGCATGTGAAGGGTGTAAGTGTGTGTGTATTATGTATGTGAAGGGTGTAAGTGTGTCTGTGTGTGTGTATGTATGTGTAGACAGATAGATATTTGTATATAGATAGATAGCCATAGATATAGCTATAGGTAAGTGTGTGTATGTATATAAATAATGTGGATATATAGATAAATAGAGATAGACTGATTGATTTAGACACAAAAATATAAACAGATAGATAGATAACTACATACATACATATAGATACAGATATAGATAGATGAATAGAGGTAGATAGATGGATGAATAAAAGTGAAGAAATATAACCAACGTAGAAATTTCCGATCAATAATGAAATAATTTTAAAAATCAATCAAGAACATTCAGAACAATAAGAAATAAATAACAATTATAACATTTTTTTTAATCAATGAAAAATCAAGAAAGCTGAGAAAAACAACAATTTAAACAGTGGAATAAATCAGTAAAACAAAAAATCATTAAAAAGCAAGGAAAATAATACAGAACCAATCAATCAATCAAAATATAAACGAACAATCAACAATCGAACAATCCCTCGGTCTCGAACGCCATCGCTATAAGCAGTGAATAAAAAAAATCTGGCTTAAATTACCTTTTGTAAATGGCTAGATTTGATGTGATTGTCGTGATTGTTAAGAGGAAGAAAGAGGAAAGAATTGATAATTACGGAAGGGTGGGGAGTTGATTAGTGTATCTGTTTTTTTGCAATGTGGATTGTGAAGATTTTTCGTTTCGTTTATCTCGGAAATTCCAATCGTATTTTTCATCCATGTCTTTTATATATATAGAAGTGTTTGTTATCAATGCATCGTTGATAAATTATATCAACAACCCATCATGTGTTATGAAACTCGTAGTTATATTTGCTATTAAAATTCCCCAAAAATAAGAAACATGCCGACAGTGACTCCGAATAAACGCATTCTTTCTCTCAATGGACGTCAAATTATTAAAGTCACCCCTCGAAATAGAAAATGGGGGTCAGCGTGGTCACGTGATCAATATTCGTCGTGACCCGGATGTCGAACGTCGAAATGGACTGTGACGTAACATGCGTGACTTGTGATCTATGAAGCCCTGTTATGTCGTGCTATGGTGAAGCCCCTGGAATATATAACGACAGTTCGGGAGAAAAATATTATTTGACTCAGTCTATAAAGTGAAGTAGTGGGTCTTGCATGAAAATAGTGCCAGTTATAAGTTTTCTGTTTTTTCTATTTTCTGTGTAAGTGCTAAGAACGTATTTATGATATATATCTTTATTCATATATATTTGTGCGCGTGTATATATATATATATATATATATATATATATATATATATATATATATATATATATATATATTTATGTAAGTATTTATTTATTTATTTATTTATTTATATATATATGTATATATATATATATATATATATATATATATATATATATATATATATATATATATATATATATATATATACATACACATATATGTATATATATTTATGTGTGTTTATATATATATATATATATATATATATATATATATATATATATATATATATATATATATATATATATAGTGTATATACAAATTCATAATACAAACACGGTGCATATATATTCCACTTGAAAGAAACATCGCTCATAAACAAACAATGAAAAAATGCCACGAAGGCAAACGGACACGTGTGCGTACAATTAAATCCACGTACACGCGCACACACAGATATGAATAAAGATAACAGCGCTCGTATGTAAATGGCTGCCGGAACTTACATTCGCCCGCGGCAATTTAGCCTCGGGATTGGCGCCCCCAGGCCCTCCTCGCGCACACGCACGCACACGAACGCACACACACATACATACACACACACATACATACACACACACATACATACACACACACATACATACACACACACATACATACATACACACACACATACATACACACACACATACATACATACACACACACATACACACATACATACATACACACACACATACATACACACACACATATACACATACACATACATACACACACAAACACACACATACACACACACACACACACACACATACATACATACATACATATATATACATATATATATATATATATATATATATATATATATATATATATATATATATATATATATGTGTGTGTGTGTGTGAAGAGAGAAAAAAAATATATTTAAAGGGAAAAGAAAGAAAAAGAGAAGAAGAATAAAAAATATATTTATACACACAGACACATATACATATGTACACCTTAACACATCCAAAATGATGATAACAAAAACAGTAGTGACGATAATAATATTAATAATAATGATAATAATGATAATATTAATCACAATGAAAATAGCAACCATAACTAATCCTATTCTTTTGCCTTCCTTCTTCCTCCCACCCCCACACCCCCTTCACCCCCACACCCCTACTACTACCCCAACCCCCTATACCCTAATACCCTCATACACCCCCAACCCCCCCCCCTCTATACCCCCAACCCCCCCAAACTTAAAAAAAAAAAAAAAACACACACCCTTCACCCCTACTACTACCCCCTACCCCAACCCCTCACCCCCCCTAACCCCCCTTCTATACCCCCACCCCAACCCCCCCAAACTCAAAAAAAAAAAAAAAAAAAAAAAAAAAACCTACAGAACATGCCCAGCAAAAGCTCGTCGGTGAGCAAAGGGGTGGGGGGTTATAGGCCTACCATCGACTGGCACGAGATCACCATCAAGCGGAAGAACGTAGCAGACCGGCAGGTGTTGGCGTGCATCGTGCTGTCCGGCCTGCTCATCATCATCGTCGGGGTCGTCATCACTATCCTCGGGTTCTTCGTCATCAAGAGTGAGTAGATTGTGATGACTTTTTATATATTTGTTGTTGTTGTTGTTGTTGGGACGATTGTTTGGGGATTTGTTTGTTTGTTTTTGTTTGTTTTTGAATGATTGTGATGGTGATTTTTTTTCTTCTTCGGGTTCTTCGTCATCAAGAGTGAGTAGATTGTGATGACTTTTTATATAGTTTTTGTTGTTGTTGTTGTTGGGACGATTGTTTGGGGATTTTGTTTGTTTGTTTGTTTGTTTTTGAATGATTGTGGTGATGATTTTTTTTCTTCTTCGGGTTCTTCGTCATCAAGAGTGAGTAGATTGTGATGACTTTTTATATAGTTTTTGTTGTTGTTGGGACGATTGTTTGGGGATTTGTTTGTTTGTTTGTTTTTGATTGATTGTGATGCTTTTTGAGTAGAGGGACGAGTGTTTTGTTTTGGTTTGTTGAGGATTGTGAGAATGGTGTTTTTTTTGTTTTTAATGATTGTAATGCTTTTTTTGTTGTTCTGTTGTGACGACTGTTTGTTTGTTTTTTTAGGATTGTGAGTATGGTGATTGTTATAGTTGTAATGACTGTGATGATTTTTATATTTTTTTATTGTGATTTTTTTTAGTATTGTGAGTATGGTGATTGTTTTTTTTCAGGATGGTGATTGTGGTGTATGTTTTTAGGATTGTGTGATGATTGTTTTTTATAGGATTGTAATTGTGACGATTGTTATTTTTTAAGGATTGTGAGTGTGGTGACTGTTATTTCTTTCAGGATTGTGGTGATTTTTATCTCTTAAACCTGTTTTATGAAATGTAATTGTGATGACTTATTATTTTTATTATTTTCTTAGAATTCTCATTATGATGATTGTTAGTTTTTAGACCCATTTTTTTGTTGAGGATTGTGATTGTTGATTGTTATTTCTACTCTTTATAGTGAATGAATATAGTGACTGCGATTTGTTATTTGAAGATTGTGATGATTGTTACATCTGAGATAATTTTATTGTGATTGTTGATTGTGTGTTTTTTTCTTTTATACCTTTGAATATTGTGATTGTGATTTTTGTAAACGTTTTCTGCGTATTGTGAGTGCGGTTTGAACTTATAGTTACTAAATATTCGTGTTGTGATTTTTATTGATGGTGAGTCAGTGTGATTTCATTTTTTGAGTATTGTGTGTGTGATTCTTATTTTTTTATGGTGATTATTGTGATTTATTGCTATATTTACTCTCTGTACTTTCTGTATATTCTGCAATTGCTATTCTCTGTAGTGACTTTTATTTTTTACTTTTCTTGTTTATCTGTTTATCTATTCATGTATCTATCTAAATATTTATCTCTTTTTTCTAACTTTTTTCATATACTTTAATGTTTTTTATTTGAATTGTCAACGTGGATTATTGGCCGAAATAAAAATAAAAATAAACGAAAGCGACGAGATAATTTATGAATGGGTTTCCCGCGTTTTTTTCTTTCTCTCTTTTCTTTTCTCTCGTTCTGTCTCTTTTTCTCTTTCTCTCGTTCTTTCGCTTTCTCTCTCTATCTCTCTATCTTTCTCGTTCTGTATCTCTTTCTCTTTCTCTCGTTCGGTCTCTTTTTCTCTTTGTCTCGTTCTTTTGCTCTCTCTCTCTCTCTCTCTCTCTCTCTCTCTCTCTCTCTCTCTCTCTCTCTCTCTCTCTCTCTCTCTCTCTCTCTCTCTCTCTCTCTCTTTCTCTCTCTCTCTCTCTCTTTCTCTCTCTCTCTCTCTCTTTTTCTTTCTGTCTCCCACTGTTTCTCCCGATTTGTGGTTGATGGAAATTTATAATTTATTAACACACACACACACACACACACACACACACACACACACACACACACACACACACACACACACACACACACACACACACAATCACACACACACACACACACACACACACACACACACACACACACACACACACACACACACACACACACACACACACACACACACATACACACTTACGAATAAATTTTGTATAGTTATTTAGTAATTTATTTAGCTATTGTTTTTATTTTTTACTTAGTGATTTTTTTGTTATTTTGTTATTTTAGTCATTTAGTTATATAGATATTTAGTTATTAGATAGCCATCTATTTTGTCATTTAATTGCTTAGTCATATAGTTACATATTCATTTATTTATTTAGATTATTCAGTTAATTAGTTATTTAATTTCTTAGTCATATAGTTATTTGTTTAGTTATTTATTTAGTTATTTAATTGTTTAGTTAATTAGGGAAGAGAAAGGCTGGGGATTTTTCATTTATTTGTTTATTTTTTGTTTGCTTTGTTTATTTTTTGTTTATCTTATTTTGTTTGTTTTTGTTTGCTAATTTTCGTTGATTTTGTTTGTTTGTTTGTTTCTTTGTTTGATGTTTTTGTTTATTTTATTTATTTTTTCGTTTTTGTTTGACTATTTGATATTTTTTGTCTATTTTAATTCTTTATTTGTTTGTTTGCATTTATATCGGAGTGGACTTATTGTGATGTTTTTTTTTCGTTATTGTACTTGTTGTTTCTTTTTTTTGTTTAGAATTAATTGTTGGGAGAATTATTACGGTGACTGACTCTGTATAATAATGAAGTTTCTGTTTGTTTTTGTGGTCTGATATTGTGGCGTTTTGTGTGTGTTTGTGTTTGTATTTGTGTGTGTTTGTGTTTGTATTTGTGTGTGTTTGTGTATGTGTGTGTGCGTGTGCGTGTACGTGTGTGTGTGCGTGTGTGCGTGTGCGTGTGTGTATGTGTGTGTGTGTGTGTGTGTGTGTGTGTGTGTGTAGTTATTTGTAAGTATACACATGTGTTTGCCTGTGTGTGCGTGTGGATTGTTGTAAGTATACCTGAGTGTCTTTTTTTTCATATATGTGTACGTACGTATGTATGTACGTGCATCTGTATATACGCATCCTCGAACATTACGTATATAAATGTTGGTGCTTTCGGACAGCCCGTCGTTCGTTTCCCTGGCTTCTGGCTTCGACGCGCCCTCTTGAGAACTGGCATCTGAGTCCTTAATTTTCCGCGTCATGCCATCTCAACGGGTGTCACTCGTATGACGTTGCGGGATTTTTGAATTTTAAGGAAAGGGGGGTTTTCTTTTTTTTTATATATATATTAGGTTGATTATCTCTGTTTGTTTTGTGTTTCTTTTACTGTCTGTCTTGTGTGTTTGTCTGTTTTTTTCTGACTTTTTTTTTCTCTTGTTCTCTCTTTTTTTCTTCTTTTTTTTCTCTTGTTCTCTCTTTTTTTCTTTTTTTTCCCGGTCTTTCTTTTCTCTCTGTCTCTCTGTCTCTGTCTCTCTCGCTCTCTCATTCTCTCTCTCTCTCTGTCTTTCCCTCCCTCCCTTCCTTCCTCCTTATTTCCCTTCTTCCCTTACTCCTTCCCTCCCTCCCTCCCTCCTACTTTCCTCTCCTCCTTCCTCCCCTCCCTCCTTCCCTCCTTCCTTCCCTCTCTCCCTCCTTCCTTCCCTTCCTTCCTCCCCTCCCTCCTTTCCTCCCTCCCTCCCTCCCTCCTTCCCTCCTCCCTCCCTCCCTCCCTCCCTCCCTCCCTCCTTCCCTCCTTCCCCCATTCCTCCCTCCCTTCCTCCCTCCCTCCTTCCTTCCCTCCCTCCTTCCTTCCCTCCCTCCCTCCTTCCTTCCCTCCCTCCCTCCCTCCCTCCCTCCCTCTCTCCCTCCCTCCTTCCCTCCTCCCTCCCTCCCTCCCTCCCTCCCTCCCTTCTTCCCTCCTTCCCCATTCCTCCCTCCCTTCCTCCCTCCCTCCCTCCTGCCCTCCCTCATTCCTTCCCTCCTTCCTTCCTTCTTTCCTTCCCTCCCTCCCTCCCTCCTTCCCTCCTTCCCTCCCTCCCTCCTTCCTTCCCTCCCTCCCTCCCTCCCTCTTTCCCTCCCTCCCTCCCTCCCTCCCTCCCTCCCTCCTTCCCTCCTTCCCTCCCTCCCTCCCTCCCTCCCTCCTTCCCTCCCTCCCTCCTTCCCTCCTTCCTTCCTTCCTGTCTTCCCTCCCTCCTTCCCTCATTCCTCCCTCCCTTCCTCCCTCCCTCCTTCCCTCCCTCCCTCCTTCCTTCCCTCCCTCCCTCCCTCCTTCCTTCCTTCCCTCCCTCCTTCCCTCATTCCTCCCTCCCTTCCTCCCTCCCTCCTTCCCTCCCTCCCTCCTTCCTTCCTTTCCCTCCCTCCTTCCTTCCCTCCCTCCCTCCCTCCCTCCCTCCTTCCCTCCCTCCCTCCCTCCTTCCTTCCTGTCTTCCCTCCCTCCTACCCTCCCTCCCTCCTTCCCTCCCCTGCTCCCTCCCTCCCCTCCTCCCTCCCTCCGTCCCTCCCTCCCTCCCTCCCTCTCTCCTTCCCTCCCTCCCTCCCTCCCTTCCTACCCTCCCCTCCTCCCTCCCTCCTTCCCTCCCTACCCCCCCTCTGTCCTTGACCTCTCCCCGTGGCGCCGAACTTTCAATAGTGACTTCTCCAACTCTCTTTTTTTTTCTTTCTTTCTTTCTTTTTTCTTTTTTCTTTATCATTCTCTGTTCTTTGAACTTTTGCATGACAGTTTTCATGACTTCGATTGAGATCATGGGCCGTTTGACTGACGTTCATCTTCCTCTTGAGTCGATGTTTTTTTGTTTTTGAGATGACGGTGATGCAATGTTATTCAATACTGTTGTTGTTGTTGTTGTTTTCATTATTGTTGTGATTGTTATTGTTGTTATTGTTATTGTTGTGATTGTTATTGTTGTTGTTGCTATTATCATTATTGTTGTGATTGTTATTGTTGTGATTGTTATTGTTATTGTTGCTATTATCATTATTGTTGTGATTGTTGTTGTTGCTGTTATCATTATTGTTGTGATTGTTATTGTTGTGATTGTTATTGTTATTATTGCTATAGTTATCTTTTATAACCATTATTGTTATCATTATTGTCATCATTGTTATCATTATTATCATCTTCACTATTGTTATCATCATCACTATCATCATCACTATCATCATCATCACTATCATCCTCATCGCCTTCACCATTA